ATAATGTGCTTTCAGAGCTAGAGCAAGCCTGGGGCTCCCTGCTTTGCCTGGGTTACAGTTGTAAGAAATCTGGGTCAGTGAAGGAATAGCAGCAGCAAGTGTCTGGTGTCGGAAGCCCTGGCCTAAGAGGAGACCTGGGACCAGCTACTTTTTCCCTCTTGCAGGAGCCCTGTACACCTACCGATAGCAGCTGCTAGAATTAGGATTGTCCCAGTCCTTTGGACAAAGGACTAAAGACAGCTCCCCTTCTGACTCTGCTCTAAGGCTCCACCTTGCCAAGCCCATAATGTGTATCCAAGTGCTATCAAGAGGCTGAGACAACAGCAGCTTTGTGGAGTCCTGAGTGTGTATCTTTTCTCATTGTGCTTCATATGACGGGAACTACCTTCTTTTGGAGGGTAGGTAGGTTGCATTATAGGGGTTCTCAGAAAGCAACCAGTCATGGGGCCCAGGTGGTCAGAAAAATGACCCTGACCCTTGGGTGATGGGAAAATGAAGTAGCTTTTCCATGTTGTCTTTCACTTTTGCTGCTTCAGGAGACTATGCAATGATGGGAAGCTAATTTTCCCTTTGATTATTTCATCCTCCTAGTGCCACAGCCCACCCCTGTTGTTGTATTTATTTCTTTAGGTCTTTTTTTTTTTTTTTTCTTAACAAGAGGAAGAGCTGTTCCTTCAATGCTTTTAAGCTGGACTGAGCCAGTCCCATTCTGGAAAAAAAAAAATGCTGTCTTTAGGAAAAATAAGCAGCTACATTCCACCCCACCTCCACCCCCCAAGTCAAAATACATCAGCGGTTTTTAGACAGTTCTTACTTGGCCAGAAAACACTGCTTGAATACTTGAAATTGTGTGCTGTGTTCTATTTAAGTTGTCAGAATGTTCTTTTGTAGACAATATGCCATGATGTATAATTGTCTATCTCCACATCTGTTTTCAAGTTACACTGTGAAGTTTGCCACATTTTTGAGGTGGTCATCAAAGACACAGATTGCTTGTTGTTTAACCAAGTGTCCTAAAGCATGTACCTGAGGTTATATCATTTTTTATTCTAAAAAGCTATGCAGCTTATATTCTGAAAATTATTAAATATATACCTCTGTTGATATAATTCATGACTATTCTTAATGGACTATGACAACTGTATAAAAGGTGTGCCAGAAGAATGATTTTGTCTGCTCCATCAGTCAGCTATCACTGGCTAATATGGTGTCACCATGACCTGCACAACTTCAGTGACTCACTGCAATAATGGTTTCTCTCTCATTTGTGTTTCACATCCACGATGGGTGAGCTGCCACATGCTGGCTCTGCAGCAGAGGAAAGGATGAGTTGAAAAACACAAGAGCTTCTAAAGATTTTGTTCGAAATGACATGTTTGTTCGTTTCATTGGCCATTGCCCTCTATGATGGGTCTGGTAGGGAAAGACACCAACATTCTGACCATAATATGGTCTATCATATATATCTTTGAAATTGTACCATATAAGCTGGAGCTTCCCAGCTGGTACCTAAGAGTCCCATTGTCAGCTTGTGCTGTGATGGGAAAAGGGTTGGAAAGCATGGAAGCAGTTCCAGGAGACCTCCAAAGGAATGGTGATGTCAGGTCACAGAGGGAGTTCTGAGGGTACGCTTGTCTCCTTTGGAGCTCAGAAGTTATAGCTGCCTTACTTTGTCTTCACACCCCAATCTTGTTCAGTCTAACGTTGACATCTATTTTATCCCATATGCCCTTCTGCTCTGCTTACACTATAGTTGGAGCACTTTTAATCTGTACTCTGGCCTACTTTGGTGATAACCTAGACAAGTCACTTTGCCTGCTTCCTTTTCTTATAACAGCCAAGAGATCTTTCTAAAATTCCTTTAGAGGTCCCTATTGTGAAGAGGGCATTATTCACCCTTCTTAGGGTGACCTCTCCTGTCTCTTCTCTCCCAGAATCTCCCCAACAGTAGCTGGTCTAGTCACAGCAAACCAGAGGTCCTGGAATCCACCAGTTTGGAATTTTCTTACCTAATGGGCCTTTCTTGAACCAGCTGCCTAGTTCAGATAAGCCCTCAAGTATGAACCCTGCCATCTATAATATTGGACTTAGATGCTCCCTGTGTTATGTCTCCTGCCCAAAGTGAGTCTGACCCATGACGGTATCCCAGTGTCTAGCATGAGTGAATGTTTCTGGATGGGAAGAACTAGTATAAAAATGTCTTCTCACATTAATTTATAGATTCAGCACTATAAAAGATTTTATAATTTGCAGGGAAAGGATACAAAAGATTCTTGCAAGAAACTACAGGGTATTAGTCCTGACGAATAATAAAATGTATTAGTCCTCTATGAAGTAATCCTGAACAATTTGTTCAGACCCTAAAAAAAATTACCATATGGTATCATAAAGCCCAAGAAGAGTGATTTAATAAATGGTGTCAAAATTAGTTTAGCAACTGGAAAAAGGTTTGACATTCATATGCCATAAATAGATGGAGTAAATATTTTAAGACACAATAAGGTCTAATTGCAAATTTCTAAAGGTGGGGGGATGAAATTGAAAAGCCTCAAAAGAAAAACACGTGAGTATATAGAGACTTCTTAAGGCTATATAAACAAAAAGAACAGCCAGACAGGCCATACAAAATTAGAATAAAAGCCTTCATCTCCATAAATGGGACCAGTCATGCCAATTCATAAAATACCCCTTGCCACTTTTATGTCACTAATTTTTGTTGTTTTTTTTTTAATAAAGATTACTCATTTTTTTTTTAAAGATTATTTATTCATAGAGACAGAGAGAGAGAGAAAGGCAGAGACACAGGCAGAGGGAGAAGCAGGCACCATACAGAGCCAGACGTGGGACTCCATCCAGGGATTCCAGGGACTCCAGGATCACACCCTGGGCTGCAGGCAGCACTAAACCGCTGCGCCCCCGGGTCTGCCCTATGTCAGTAATTCTTGTAAGAAAAGAATGAATTGCTATTGCCAATTAGAAGAAACTTTAAGAGGCAGTCACAGTTAACATCACCCATTCAGTGCCTGGTAGTGGTCAAGAAAGGTAGGCATTGGAATATAGGTGGCCGGTCCTGTTTTCAGTGCATTACATGTATAATGCAACTCTGAGGTAGATGTTATTTCAGCTTCCTTCCAGATGAGGAAAGATGCCAGGAGAGATTAAGTTGCCAAAAGAATACAATTAGGAAAAGGGAGCACCAAAAGCTTACAACAAGTGAGACAAATAAATAGTAAATAGGTAACCAAATGAACATGTTCATTTTTGGCTGTTTTAAATTAGAACAATTGTATTTGACAACGTATAGCAAAGATTCACTAATGCTACTTACATAATTTAAGGGCATGTGTGTTTTGTGGGGATAAAGTTATGAGGAAAAGCTTAAGTTGTGGGAACATTCAGTTCCTCATTATTAGTGATACAAAACTGTTAAAACTTAATGGAGCAGCCATCTAAAACCTGAGAGCTAATAATGTGAAAATTACTACAGGGAGACTTCACTAAAGTAGAGTTAGGAGGCTAAGAGGGACCAATGTCCCTTCCAGGAAGAATTGTCAGTTACAGACACTAGCAGACGCCTAATTATAGCTCCCAAAAGAAGGTCAACAGGAAAGAATAATCAATTACAGGCCCTAAGGGGGAAAAGATGTGAGAAGCACAATGTTCAAGAAATCAACTACCCCAGCAACTCCAGGAAGAATCTTGATTTTTTTCCCCCCAATGAATTTTGCAAAAGAACTCTCAATTTCCTTCTCCATAAAGTAAGTTTCTCCCCTTTACTGGACTCGCCTGTAGTTTTGCCGTAGCTTGTGTGTCCCCAACTGCAATTCTCTCTTCCCAAATAAATCCACTTTTGCTGGTAAAATAACCTTTACGTATAAGATTAATGTAAGTAATGGCAACCAGTAAGACTGCCACCATGGGGAAAATGCTTGCAAACAGAAAAGATCAGGATAAAAACCGGGGGGGGGGGGGGGGGGGATGACGAACAGAACACAAACTCTAAAAGCCAACATTTACATTTTTATTATTTCTAACTCTACACATCTAAAAGCCTCAACAGGGGATCCCTGGGTGGCTCAGTGGTTTAGAGCCTGCCTTCTATCCAGGGCATGATCCTGTGATACACTTATTCTGGAGTAATCCTGGAGTGTATTTTTTTTTTTTTTTTAGTTGTAGGACAATTTTCATTGCAGCATTATTCACAATAGTCCAAAAGTGGAAACAAACCAAGTGTTCATCAATAGGTGAATGAATCAACAGTATATGCTATATCTCTACAGAATATTATTCAGCCCTAAAAAATAATGAAATTCTGATATATATACTATGACATGGATAAACTTCAAAAACATACTAAGTTTGCAGGGCCTGATCCTGGAGACCCTGGATCGAGTCCCACGTCGGGCTCCCCGCATGGAGCCTGCCTCTCCCTCTGCCTCTCTCTCTCTCTCTCTCTCTCTCTCTCGCTCTGTATCTCTCATGAGTAAATAAAACAAAATAAATCAAAAGCTTTTAATTCTTGGCAGTTTTGAGGTGGGGAGATACACCAAATCAGCTTTTCTACAGGCTCCCTGCATGGAGCCTGCTTCTCCCTCTGCCTGTGTCTCTGCCGCTCTCTATCTCTGTATCTTTCATGAGTAGATAAATAAAATCTTTAAAAAGAAATAAAAAAAGAAAAGCCTCAACAGGAATACACTAATTTTACCCCTCTCAAACTAATCCGACGGTGCCAGGAACCGTGCCAGTCGCCTTACCACTCCTATTATCACCACTGTCTGTGACGCAAGAATTGCTGCCCCCTCTCACCCATAAGGAAATTTAGTCCAGTAAAATTGCCCGAGGCTCTATGGCTCGTTATGGGTTCCAACCGCCTCACTTCTGACACTGCGGCGGGGGGTGGGGGGAGGGGGGCCGAGGGGAAGCCACCGGCCGTCTCCCAGGAAACCGAGCTCGCCCCGCCCCTTGGCCGCGCCCCCGCTTCCGCTCCTGCGCACTGGAGCCCGCGGCGGGGCCGGCGGGGGCGAGCGCGCCCGCGTTCTCGGGAGGACATGGCTGCTTCCCGCCTACCCCCCGCGACGCTGACGCTAAAGCAGGTAGCCGGTTCTCGGCCGCCTTCGAAGGCCGCGGTCTAGGGTCGGACCTCAGCCCTCCGCCGCGCCCTGGGGGGCGGGGCGGGGGCGGGGGCGGCGGCGGGGCCCGTGAGGCCGTCCGCCTGTCGGGCCGAGCGGGGCGGAGGGCGGGGCGGGATTGCCGACGGATGCGGCACCTGCTCTGGTTCGGGGATCGTGCTGTTCGTGAAGCTAAGGCTGTAGGAACGGAGAGCCGTGTTTCTGCTCAGTGGCCCTCTCTTGCTGTTGAGGGTCCTTAGGCTGGACAAAGGGAATAAGCAAACAGCCCAAATCAACCTTTTGCTCTTTTAAGTTCATCTTCGCCCTTTTTAAAAATTGAGGACGAAAGAGAAGTCGGTCTATGTAGTTTGGTGTCCTAAAGTAAAGCCCTCGGGGGACCCCTGGGTGGCGCAGCGGTTTAGCACCTGCCTTCGGCCCAGGGCGCGATCCTGGAGTCCCGGGATCGGTCCCGCATCGGGCTCCCTGCATGGAGCCTGCTTCTGCCTCGGCCTGCCTGCCTCCCTCTCTCTCTCTCTCTCTCTCTCTCTATCTCTATCTCTGATGAATACATAAAATATTTTTAAAAAAATTAAAGTTCTCTGGGGCTGTAGATTTTGCAGTTGTAATCGACATTTCTCCTCCCTCCACAGTTCTTGAGAAGGCAACAAGTCCTCCTCCTCTACAGAAGGATTTTGCAAGCCATTCGACAAGTTCCAGGTGATTCTGATCGCAAATACCTGAAGGACTGGGCAAGAGAAGAATTCAAAAGAAACAAAAGTGCTACCGAAGAGGTGAGAACACGATCACGTTGAGGATAAGCCCTGACTATTTTGTATTAGTTGAATTATATTTTATTTATCTTTTAAGATTTTATTTATTTATGAGAGAGAGGCAGAGACACAGGCAGAGGGAGAAGCAGGCTCCATGCAGGGAGCCCGACGTGGGACTCGATCCCGGTCTCCAGGATAACGCCTGGGCTGAAGGCAGCGCTAAACCACTGAGCCACCCAGGCTGCCCCCAGTTGAATTATTTTTAAAAAAGTTTAATAGATGTCTTGGAATATAAGGGTCACGGAGATATAGATCCTGACCATTGCTTTTAATGTTACCAACTTCCAACTCAATTGATATTTAAAATATTACAGGGGCCCCGGTGGCGCAGCGGCTTAGCGCCTGCAGCCTGAAATTTGATCCTAGAGCCCAGGGATCGAGTCCCATGTCGAGCTCCCTGCATGGAGCCTGCTTCTCCCTCTGCCTGTGTCTCTGCCTCTCTTTCTCTCTTGTGTCTCTCGTGAATAAATAAATTAAATATTTTTAAAAATTATAAAAAATAATAAAAGAAAATTTTACAGTCTTTGCTCTATAGTAGCATTACCTGACTCCTCTGTTAAACCAGACATACAAGAAGAAATAATAAGACAGCATGATGGTTTGGGAAGTATGATGACGGGTATATGAGAACATGCCAGGCAGTGTGCACCCTAATTCACAGTAGTTCCAATTCACAGTGTTGGTCTCTTACTTGGTTAAACACAGTACAGCTCTACTCTTTCATTTGTTAGTCAAACAGTAACCAAATTTCACTTTTCTTCTACAGGATACAATCCGGATGATGATTACTCAAGGCAACATGCAACTTAAGGAGTTAGAAAAAACACTTGCTTTGGCAAAATCTTAACCTACAGCATCATTGTGAAAGATTTTCAGTCCATATGTATTGTTGGGCTGATGAGAGACTCAACGATGGGCAGCCTAAAACCAAGTCCAACTGTACAGTACTTGGGAAAATATCAGAACATGGAGCCTGGCATGTCAGAGCAAACAAAAGCATATCAGAACAATTGCCTTAACACTGAAAAACAATCCTGCGTTTTGAAAATTTTTTGGATGTGTCATCAGTTCAAGCAGCGAAAACCAGTGTAAGTGGTCAGCACATAAGATGCTTAATATCATTACCCGTCTGGAAAATGCAAATTAAAACCGCATTGAAAAAATAATAATAAAAAAATAAATAAAACCACATTGAAACAGTACCACATCCACTGGAATAACTGTGATTAAAAACAGCTAATAACAAATGTTAGTAAAGATGCAGGGAAATTGGAGCCCTATACATACATGGCTGTGGGCTTATGAAATGGCACAGCCACTCAGAAAACAGACTGTCAATTGCTTAAAAGATTAAGTTACCATACAGTTCCGCAGTTTCTTCCTAGGCCTATACCCAACAGAACTGAAGATCTTTCTATAAAAAACTTTTACAGGAATATTCATAGCAGCATTATTTATAACCAAAAAAGTAGAAGCAATCCAAATGCCCATCAACTGACAAATGGTTAAATAAAATGTCTAGAATATTTAGCAATAAAAAGAAATGAAGTACTGATGCATGCCTGCTACACATGGATGAACCCCAAGACCAGTCACAAAAGATCACATATGTGATTCCATTTACATGAAATACCTAAAGTAGGAAGAGGTGGTTGCCCAGGACTGTGGACAGCAGGAGAGGGATTGCTACTGGACATGGGGTTTATTTTCTGCGTGATGAAAACATTCTAAAGTTAGATTTGGGCGTTGGTTACACAACTCTGAATCTACTAAAGTCCTTTAAAGCCTGCATTTTGCATGTATATGTGAATTATACTTCAATAAAGGGTTTTTTTTTTGTTTGTTTTGTTTTTTTTGCTGATATATAATTGACATACTGTGTAAGTCAATAAAGCTGTTTTAAGAAACAGTATGAGATGTATGGAAGTATACTGACCTCAGGAGATACCTTAGGCCTTTCTAGAAAAAATCCTGCATTACTGAGGGCTGGTGAGGTAGGTTCTTCAGATTTGTAATGATGCAGTAGCTCAAGGACTTTCTGAAAGGATCACTGGGAATATAGATCTTTGTTGGAAAGAGGAGAGACAGAGGCTTAATGAACACATTGAAGCACTTACCAAAAAGAAAAAGCAGTATCTGGATGAAACTAATGCAATTACCTTAGCATCCATATAGAAAGACATGAAACCATCAAGGAAGATCCTTGGTGCATTAGGTTCTCCTCCAGTGACAGGAAGAAAAAGTTTGAAGAATACACTGAAGACAAGAAGTGGACCTGAAGACACTCTGAGACCAAATGTATACTAGTTAGTGAAAGTGAAAACTTATGAAAGAGGCTGGATTGTCAATCCTGCAAATAGACATCCTCTGTTCTACAGAATAGATCTAAAAATTTAATCCAAGAATCTGACCAGCACCTGAAAAGTGTAGGAAAAAAGTTGCAGAATGATAGATGGTTACCTAGTACTGTACTGTGTGCCAAAGGGGAGAGAGAAGCAGATGGTGGCGTTTGTCAATGACCTGCATTGCCAGGATCCACCTGCCGTTCCCACAGCCTCAGCCCACAAGACAAAATAATTCTGAATATTCTTCAACAGGGTAATCTAATATCAAAATGCAGGAGCTAATTATCAGATTTGTACATAAGTGTACATTAATCAACCTGATGAACAGAAGCATTTGTAAACAGTCTGAACAGAGGACACTTTTGTGTAGCATGATATACATACTCAAGTATAGACTATTTCTAGTAAATCTAAAATCCTGACACTATAAATCATCCTTTTATGAGATGTAGAAGTGACTTGATGATGTTCTTCCTAGCAGCGGTATATGTCAAAGATGTAAGGAGCATTTGTACTTTGTAAGATGCAAATACCAGACTCTAAGAAAACCTAGCTTGGGATTTGTTCTGTATGTTTTTTAAATTGGGCAAAACACTACAAATTGAATTGTCATCTTCTAGAAGCGAAGATTATTATAATATTAAGTAATAATGGACAGTGTTTTAATACTAAATAAATCTTAGGCTAAACAACAATTTCTCCTCCCACATGGAATCATGCTCATTAAGATGTTGGCCAGTTAGAACTCCTGGTGAAACACATTTTATTTAGCGTCTTTATCAGTGTTCTGGCTTGGATAACAAATTACCTGTGTGGGGGCACCTGGGTGGCTCAGTTGGTTAAGTGTCTGACTCTGGATTTCTGCTCATGTCATCTCAGGGTTGTGAGATCAAGCTTGGAGTTGGGCTCTGTGCTGGGCATGGGGCCTGCTTAAGACTGTCCCTCTCTCCCTTATTCCCTACCCATCCCTTAAAGCACAAAAAAAAAAACACAACTATACCCTTATCTGAATGTAAAAGTTTTGTCAAGTTTAAAATATTTGGATGTTCAATATTTGAACTACAACAAGTCAAATCTTTGTATTAAAATTTTTAAAATACAAAAGCTTTCTAGCATGAGGACAAGCGGCTAGGGCTATTATTTAGCATACTGACTGTTCCTACATCATTACTGCCTTTTAAGTGTGCCATCGGGTTGGAAGTTCCTAAACTCACGGCACAGGGATTGCTGTGGAGGGTGCCTGCAGAGGACTTTGTAATATTTGAGGAAAACAGAACATATTTCCTGGTATTTGTATTACTGTAGTCACACAAGCAGGTACTCAGAAGAGACTGAGACCACACTTACCTAAATTGTTTCTTCTTTGGAGGAAAAATGCTAAACAACAGAAGGTAACAGCTCACATCCATGTGGAAAAAAACCCGGGATTATGGAGAGCAAGTCCGAGCCGGATCAAAAGCAAATCATCACTTTGTGCCAAACTAGAAATTGCCACAGCCTATTTCCTTCCTTCAGTCAGACATCTGAGAAATTCTATCAGGATTAAGTTTGCTATTTTTGTTTACTAAGAGGAAATTGCTTTTTACCCACACTGTTTTCCATTAGGAATATCTCTGCTGCTTCTCGATTATGTGTCTCATGGATTTAATATATGCACAATTATTGTCATATTTTGACAATATTAGAGAAGAATGTTTCCCTTTGAAATCAACGGAAACAATTTTAATTTCTCTTATTTATAAGAATTCTAAAAGGTCACTGATTTTGTCTTTTAAATCCTAATTGATTTGGCTTTTATATCACAGGAAGAAATGTATTTAGTTTTTATGAACAATTTGTTAGGAAATGTTATTTCGCCTGCTTACAGTTATAAGTGAGGTTTTGTTCTCTGCTATTTTCTAAAAGGTCAACATTTTAAACAAGACAAGCCTGCACTGAGAATATTTCCATATTATGGGCTCTTGAAAAATTTATTTTTCATGCAGTGCATCTGATCGCTACTTTAAAGCGGATGCATTTACCAGAAGTCACTCTTCTATCAAAACAAGGTAAAGTGTGGCTAGGTGAAGGTACTCTTTCTGGGAACCATAAATTTGGTCAACCACACAAATGAAAATGTACACTAAATATTCACACTTTCATTTCTAAATAAGGATTTTATTTTTTTTTTAATTTTTATTTATTTATGATAGTCACACACAGAGAGAGAGAGAGTGGGGCAGAGACACAGGCTGAGGGAGAAGCAGGCTCCATGCACCAGGAGCCCGATGTGGGATTCGATCCTGGATCTCCAGGATCGCGCCCTGGGCCAAAGGCAGGCGCTAAACCGCTGTGCCACCCAGGGATCCCTAAATAAGGATTTTAATATCCATAATGTTGAGAACCATGGTTTGATGTTTGGAAGAGACAAATTCAAGGTAATAAAAATACTAAATAGAAGACAACATACCTCTAATTATCAGCGCTTGGCTGAAGAAAAAAAAAAAGATTTAAACATGAAAACATCACTTACTTTATTTTGGGCTCCCAAAGTCAAAAGTAAGCTTAGAACTATATTCAATCTAACCACAGATATTTACTTTATTCAATGCAATAATTCAGTAACAAAAGCCCCACTGTAGTGTTAGACAGTCTGTATTTTACATCATTTTATAGCTATTGAGATTTCCAATTTCACTTTCAAACACAACCCACGCGAGAGACTATAAATTAATAATTTTGCTTCTTTGGAAAAGTACTATTGTGACATTCGCTCATTTTCGCAGATAGCACAAGGGAAAAATAAGATACCTATCAAACCCAAAGTTGAATTTTTGACAGAACTAAAGAACAAAAACCCAGTCTTTGAAATTAAAAAGATATTGGTCTTGGGATGCTGCCACCAGCTTGGGTTAGGACGCTGACTGACCCTGTTTCCTTGCCTCTCTACTGGTTTTCCTTTCCATTAGAGAAGGATCCAGGTAATCAGACAGACTGGGTGGCTTTGACTCTTCTCATTCTTCCCTAGTCTCTTCCCTGTTACTTGGACAAAAATACCCAGTTCACAATGAGAAGCTGCCTACTTGAGGGGTAGAGGTTATATAATCAAAATCCTTCCTTCCAAAGCACTCTATGGTCTAGTTAAAATTTGTTTTCAGCATTTCTCAGCAAGGATATTCCTTGGGATAACAGGAGATTTCGTAGGTGAAAAGAACTCCTGCTGAGACTACAACTTACTATCTCAGGATTTCATGTCTTTGAGTATCAGGCAGTTCTCAAGAAACTGATGGGTATTGAGGAAGGATTCCAAAGATGTCCCTGATGCCTGATTAGGGGAGCTGGGCAACTAAGTACCATCTAACTCTGCAGTGCCTGCATCAGGAACGCAGGGGGGAATGCGGAGAGGAAGGCACCTCTACGTGCAGCACTGCAACAGGAGCCGCTGAGGAACGAGACAAGCTCGCAGCCGTGAACATCAACTCGATAGAACATTCAATGGATTTCCCATCCAGGTTGTGTAATGGTGACCTAGAACTAGATCTAGATTTGTTAGGAATGTCCATCTATATCCATAGATCATCACTATTAAACAACTGTGAGCTTGATAGGCAAAAACAAAAGGACTATAAACATACTGTGTTTTTCTGGGTGTTCCCATGTCAGGAAATCATTTTCTCTTTGGCTCAATGAGCAACATTTTATTCAGTGTTAGAGACAATGGTTACTCAGTTCCTGTGTTGATGGAAACAGAATTGAGATTTCTGTGCACACATGGAACCGTGAGATGAATACAGTCCCACATACCAAGGGACACAAAGCATAGAAGATAATTCCAAAATTTCAACATAACCAAGCTACTTTTACAACTTTAGGATGAGAGTACAGTAAAATCCTTGGGGCTCTGCGAAGCTGAGAACAGTGGGGTCTAGATCAAGTTACTGAATTATTTTACCTTGACATAATCAGTGCAAAGCAGTGGGAAACTTTTGAGGCTCTTCAATGACAAGAGACGATGAGAAGTGAAATATTTTCAAGAAATGGCCTTACTTCTTTATAAAATGTAAACCAATAAAGCTCAAATTTAGAAAGGTTCTCTTGGATAACTGTTGTGTATTATGGATGTGGATATGGATAGAAGTTTCAGGTAACTGTTAGGTGAATGTTTTTCCATTAATCTTTAAAATCGGTACAATTAGTTAATTGTAGTATTTCCACGTTTTGGGTGGAAATACAGAAAAAAATGACCAAAGGATTTGAACCTTTCTCATTTGAGTTTATTAACAAATATTCCCAGGGCTATCGGTCAATTGCTCATTATTTTCAGTACCCTCTGACTTTGCAAAATATTTTAAGATATACTGGCTCTAGTGACATCAGGAAAATCTTTTTCTCAAAATCTATTTGATAAGTTTTCATCTGGTTAAAAGGTCAGCACTTCAAGAAGTAGGAATTTGACAGAGCCGACTGAGCACATCTCAGCTACATCTCTTACAGAAAGATGCTCCTGTCTGGGCA